GACTTGTATTTTCTAATTTCCTGGATACAACACTAACAGCATAAGCTATATCTGGACGTGTACCCGTCATTAGGTACATAAGAGCACCCACAGCTTCGCGATATGGAAAACAAGTATTCGATTCTATTTCACTAGTTTCCTTCCCTAATTGGATAGCTTCTTTTACAATCGGGGTCGAGACCGGTCTGCTATTTTCCATGCCAAAACGTTCTAGCACCTTTCTTGTATAAGCTGACTGGGTAATACTTATGGAGTCGTCTTGATTTCTTTCGATTTCCAAACCTAAGAAATATGTAGCTGGTTTAACTGTTATTTTAAACATCTCCTGAAGCTTTTTCAAAAAATTCATCTTCATTATTTCATTTGTACATGCTATTAGACCATCGTCAACATACAGCACTAATATTAACATGTCTTTTCCTTCGATTTTAATAAATAAACATGGATCTGCAGTACTTCGTTTAAAGCCAAGCGAATCTATAAAGTTTCCAAAACGCTTATTCCAACACCTTGGTGCCAGTTTTAATCCATATAAACTTCTCTGGAGATGACAAACCATACCACTACCATCATCATAGCCTTCTGGTTGTTTCATGTATACTTCTTCGTCTAGAGTACCGTACAGAAATGCAGTACAGACATCAAATTGTGTAAGTGACATGTTTTTACTAGCAGCTATACTTATAACGGCTCTTATCGTACCACCTTTAGCTATTGGACTGAACGTTTGTTCATAATCTTCACCTTTTCTTTGTGAATAACCCTTCACTACCAAACGAGCTTTGTATTTATCAATTGAACCATCTGGATTGGTTTTGAGTTTATACACCCATTTACAGGGAATTGCTTTTTTATTTTCAGGTAAATTTTTCAAAATCCATGTACAATTCTCTTTTAATGACTGCATTTTATGCTCCATTGCCAGCCTCCAGTTATCTTTTTCACAACAAACAATTGCTTCTTTGTAACTAAGTGGTTCTTTGGTGTCGTTTATTTCAGCAGCAACCATCATAACGAACTCGTCAAAGCGTGTTGGCTTCTTAATGTTTGATCTTTCTCTCAGTTGTCTTCTAAATTCTATATCTTCTTCTAAGCTTTCTTCTGGTTCATAACATTGGTTTTCTTCTTGGTCATATCGGTCCATTTCTTCTATACTATCACTAATTTCATCGACAATATCTATTTCTTCTGTATCAGAATTATTTTGAACAAAATCCAATACATTTACTGTAGGTTGCAAACTTTGAAACTGTTTGGATTCTTTTAGCACACCGAGAGTTTCAAATTCATTAAAAATAACATCTCGTGAAAGTATTAGTCTATGCTGTTCTTCTGACTAAATCCTATATCCATCATCATTTTCATAACCCACGAGTATACCTTTAATAGATTTCTTATCCAATTTTCTCCTGCAAACTTTAGGAACGTGAGCATAACAAGTACTGCCGATTACTCTTAAATGTTTAAGTTCAGGCTTCTTGTTAAACCATATTTCATGTGGTGATTTATCAGGAATACTGGACATACCAGATCTGTTTAAGATATATGTAGCTGTGTTTACTAATTCAGCCCAAAATGTTTGATCAAAGATACCTTCTCTTGCATGCATTAAAGATCTTGCGCATTCGACAATCGTTCTGTTATCACGTTCTGAACAGCCATTTTGTTGTGGTGTGTACGGCATCACCAATCTTTGTTTTATTCCATATTTGTTTAAAATATTTGCTACCCGATGATTATCAAATTCTCCACCATGATCTGACAGAAATTCTTTCACACCATATCCTGCAGCTTTTATTTCTTTTAAAACAATATCTAATTTATCAGCAACTTCTGACTTTTGCTTTAAAAAATATACAAATCGGTATCTGCTAAAATCATCTTTAAATAAAACATAATATAAACCGGATTTTGATACCTTGAAAGGCCCACAAACATCCGAATGGATCAGTTCTCCTGGAGTTTCTGCTCTTTTTCTTATGCCAAACTTTTTCACGGAAGCTTTTCCATAAACGCAGCCCTCACATAATTCACTATCCAGCTTCACATCTATGTTAAATTCTTGTTTAATTACATCTTTAACATGTCTTTTGCTTTGATGACCCAGCCTTTCGTGGTAAAGTTGCAATATATTTTCTTTAGAAGTAACCATACTGACACTCACATTTTCAGGTTTGATTGCCTGCATCTTCAGTTTATATAGTCCACCAGACTTACATCTAGATCCAACAATAATTGTTTCTTTATAAATATTAAAATAGCAGCACTCAGTGCTGGAAATAAATTCACTTTCTGGATGTTTGTCCTGAGCAGACAAAGTTGAGAAAAGATTTTTCCTGATATTGGGAACATACCATACGTTGGTCAATAAAAACTCTTTCTTCTTTCCTTTTACAAAAGATTGTATTTTGATGGTACCCTGTCCTAATGCCGCAACTGCATATCCATTAGCTGTTGTTATTGTTTGCTCTTCGCTAAACGGTTCATACGATTGGAATACACTTTGTTGATTTGTTATGTGATTAGTCGCTCCATTATCAACATACTAATTTTTAAAATCTGCTTCGCAATTCAACACATTCGATGATACAGCCACTAAGGACATCTGAGTTTCTTTAGCTTTAGTATTTGTATGTTTTTTCGAATTTTGTGGTTTAGGAGGCCTTCCATCGGCTTTCCATTTATCGCATTGCTTCACTTTATGACCTTTTTGCTTACAGTAATTGCAATAATAACTATATTTATGCGCTTTACTCTTATTCACTGTATATAAAACTTCTTGCTTGCTCTCATTTTTATTTGTTAATGCTTTTTCATAAGAGCATAGCTGATTTGTCAAGTTATCTATTGTTCTGTCTTTATTTGATACCAGAATCCAACTAGACTTAAATGAGAAATATTCAGGTGGAAGAGTTTCTAATATTTTACAAATAAGCAAAATATCTGACAAGTCGCACTTACAATTATTTCCAGCAACTGCTTTATCTTTGAAAATTTCGCTTTTCAAATTGTTCCAAAGGTTTTTAAGTTTTGATGAATGAGTAGCAATATCGTCATCTGATTGTCTAGTATAACTAAAAAATTGCATACAGATATCATAGGTTTTATCTGTTGCATTACCATCATACAAACGATGCAGCTCCAACCAAACTTCCCTAGCGGTCGAAAATCTCATGACTTTTTCTAATGTGCTTTGAGTCATATTTATTGTAAGAACTAATAAGACAGTACTATCTGTTTGATTAAAAAATGCAACATTTTTTTCATACTTGCATTTTTCTTCTTGTGTTGCTCCTTCGAGTAACGACTTAGGAAAAGTTAATCTACCATCAAGGACGTCCATCGCACTTTTTACATTTCTCAGAAGAATAGAGATTTTGTATTTCCAAGTGGTCCAACTCTCTTTACCTTCAAGTAATCCTATTTGCACCTTACTGGGATCCATTTTACTCTGGATTTAATTTAAAATGCTCTTTATTACTTTATGGAGATGACACTTTCCAGACAGTTAAAAGTTTTTCTTCAATTCTTACTTAATTTCTTGTATTTTCTAGCATTACCATTTAGGTACTGTACGCTCTGCTACCATGTTAATATTGTTAATAATATTAGATCGTCTAACTAGAAAAAACTTCCTTGTAATTAAATAAAATGACTGTGACTTATTGTTATTTTATTTCCATCAAAATTGACATTTCTACTTGTCTAAACTACAAAACTTAACTCATTAACTTATTTACAACATAGGATGGTAAATTACGTAGATGCCTTCTTCATTCTGCTTTAACAATCCAAAGCTTTTGAATGTGTTTCGCACGAATTACTATTGGAAAAAAATTCATAAATACGGTATTAGGGGAAACACTCTTAATCTATTTAGATCATACTAAACAAATAGAAAGGAATCCGAGAGTTCCGATTGGAAGTATATCTCAATAAATAGTGTTGAACTATTAGGAATCTTTCTAGATGATAATTTGGATTGGAGTTCTCATAGAGATTACTTAAGTTCTAGACTTGCTACAAGTATATTTTTATACGCAACTTAGTTTATATAATTCCTACAAGTACCCTTAGAATGTCTACTTTGCACTATTCCATAGCCATTTATAGTACGGAATAACTGTTTGGCGTAATTATTCTCACGCAGATCAAAGTTTTAAACTACAAAAAAGAATAGTGATGATACTTGCAAGAACAGAGTATAGGGGACACTGTAAACCCTCGTTTCTGGATTTAAGTATTATGCCACTATCTTCACTTTAAATATGGCACGGTGATTGACATTCATGCCAACAAAGGTAAGTTTAACATAAACTCCAACTCCTATTATTACGATACAAAATCTAGAGATGCTATTAGAGCACAACGTTTTAGGTTGACAAAGAGCATAAAACATTCGACTGATGTTGGTTTGGTTGGTTTGTATATCTTTTTGCCAGCTTGTTATCGTTTAAGCTTAAAATCAAATCACACAGATTGACAGTATTCTTTTTGACGTAGTTGACAGATTTCTTTTTGCACACCGAAATATATTTACGTTTTTTGGTCAAACGGTTGAATTTAGAAAAAAATGTTATAAGAGTTTTTTGCTCTAAATGGTGCCTTCTACCTATACCTTTAAAGAACGCACTATTTTCAGGGACACCCTGTATAGCACTATTCATTTAACTTAAAGTAAATTAAAATATTATTTTTGTCTTTGATAAGTAGGAATGTGTTTATTGAATTTTTTAATAAAAGGGAAAGAACTCGATTTTAATGACAAGATTTTCAATTATTTTGACTTGACCTCTAAAACAATATTTTGTTCGTTTACTAATACTCGAGATATGAGTTTTATAAAAGTTATTGCCACAAAAATAAACACGTGATACATTTGGGGTTAGATGACTGTCTATTTAACCAAGAAGTTTCCAAATTTTACTAATACATGGTTTATTTTTATTAAAATACGAAAACCGTGTACCAGTTATACATATTTACCTGACAATACTCACCTTAAGTTGCCGCACATGTGTGTCGAAAAAAGGCAGTAGATGATGGGGTTGGCGGCGGAATTGAGAGGAGCCAGACTTTGGATGAGTGTCGCTATGGCGATGGTGGTTTGAGTTTTAGGAATGTGACCGTATACTTGGAGCAAGTCAAATATTATAAAGGGACTCCAGCATACGATAAACACTGAAAACAATAAAAATATATGTATTAACAGTAAGTATTAGTGGTGAATAAAATTATTAAATTGTTCTTGTATATTAATATTTTTTATTAAAAGACACAAAAGTGACTTATCGTAAAACATGATATATACAACAAATATATTGTTCTGAAGCTCGTTTCTTGTGGCATTTTAAAGTAGATACTATTTTATTCGGAATAAGCCACAATTAAAAGTGGCCACAATAAGATTATTGAAAAAGCCACAATAAGTTTATTAACGTTCCAATTTCGACTTCGGAAATCGTTCTTAAAATACAAACATTAATAAATTGAATATATAAAAAAAAAGTAAAGAATGTAAATAGATATATGTATTGTTGTATTTTTATTAATTCTAATTTATTGTTTTCATCGTTTATCAAAGGTTCTATATTTATAACACTTACAATTTAATTGTCAATCGAAAAAATCGAAAAAATCTTAAAAACAATATTAAATCGTAGACTAAAGTAAATGAACAACTGCTAATACTGGAAATGAAAAAGTCGAATACTAAAAGAAAAAATAGAATCAGAATACGAAGACAGAAAAACAAAATGGATTTCGTGCAGGAGGATCGTGCACTGATGGTATATTCTGCAGCAGGTAATCAAAAAACGGAAGGCAAGGAATCTATCTACCCACCTATTGTTTCTAGATTTAGAGAAGACATACGATACGGTACCTTTAAAAAACTGTTTCAAACAATAAACGAAAGTAGGTCTCAGTGGAGAGTATGTGAATGCTGTCGCAAATATATACAAAAATGCAAGAAGTGTCGTTAAAGTAGGAGACTTTATATCTGAATCATTTCCAATAACAAAGGGACTTAAACAAGGATGTTGTCTATCTCCGACCTTATTTAAAATATATATTCATTCATCGCTAGAGCAGTGGAGGAAACAAGTATCCGGAATCGGAATAGACATAGGTGGTGGTAAATGTCTAACAACTTTATTTTTCGCAGATGATCAGGTAGTCGTAGCGAATGATGAGGAAGACATGGACTACATGTTTAGAAAACTAAAGAAAGAATATGAAAAATGGGGCCTCAATATGAATATATCAAAGACAGAGTATCTTAAAATAGGAGATGATGAAGATCCAGAGTTAGAAATTAGAAACAGAAAAACATGCAATGAATATAAATATCTCGGATATATAATATCTAAAGAAGGCACTACCAAAAGAGACATCGAAAACAGAACGCAGCCGGGAAAAAAAGCGGTTAACATTCTCAACTCTCTACTGTGGTCTAAAGATATTAGACAAGAAACAAAATTGACAATCTATCGAACCTTGGTAGAGCCTATTACGACTTATTGGGCAGAAGTTTGGCAGATCACGAAAAATGATAGAAAAAGAATAGAAGTAGTAGAAATGGATTTTCTAAGGAGAGCGTGTGGTGTATCCAAAAAAGATCATATCAGGAATGAAGATATTAGAAGGAGGACAAATATTGTATATTCCAGGGTAGATAGAATTGAAACGAGACAACTAGTGTGGTATGGTCACGTGAAGTGAATGAATTAAGATAGATTAAAGCCGAAGAAAGCTTTAAATTACATACCACAACAAAGAAGAAGAAGGGGAAGGCCTTCAGTTGCCTGGGAAGAAAATGTACGACAACTAATGAGAGATAGAGTCATCAAAGAAGACGAATGGATGGACAGAGAATGATGTCGGTCGAAATGCGAGAGGCGACAGAGGCTGTAGGAACCTCGCTTATACATATATATATATATATATATATATATATATATATATATATATATATATATATATATATATATTAATGTTTGTATTTTGAGAATGATTTCGGAAGTGGAAATTGAAATGTCAATAAATTTATTTTAACCTTTAATTGAGGCTTATTCCCAATAAACTAGTATTTACAACAACTATATTAAAATCATCATAGAAAAGGGACAAAGTCTTTAAAAATGGTAAAAATAAAAATAATAGTAACAGATTGTAACTCATTGTAAAAGAAAGTATAACGAAAAATAAAGCAAAAATAACACAGGCTAACAATGAAAAAACTTTTTTTTTATAAAATTACCTCTATCTTATGTATTTTAGTGTGCTGAGCTCGAAAATCATATTAATACTGCTGGATCACCACCATCTTTAACATTTAAAATTGGATCGTTTTATTTTATTTTATTTTATTTTTTTTACCGCATCAACCCATAGGGCTATTAGCGGGGTTTATGCCATATTTACATAGTAATTTTTGAAAGTACGTTGTGAATTTTTACAGTTTGTTATATAATTTACAATTTTTAAGATATTCTATTGTTTTACTACTGTCTTCTATTAAAGCTTCTTTTAGGTTGGATTGTATTTTCGCTGTCGATCTTGCTGTTGAATACACTGGACAGTCTATTATTATACAGTGTGGATATTAAGTCTGACTCCCCTAGTGAACTCCGTTAGATGAAAAACGCTTGGACCCGTCAATTTTGATTTTAATAGAGGTATTTTATAACATAAAAAAAATTGTCCCCCCGCTCATCCCCCTCACTTGACAGCTACCACCTCAGATTTTTCAAATAGCAATGGGGGTTGTGCGATAGTTCGTTGGAAAGGGTTTGAAAAGAAGAATTCTAAAATCTATCACACATTACTTTAACTTTAAGGGTCTGTTTGTTAATAACGATTTATTGTTTGGAGATACACTTTGAGATAAGACAATACAAAAGTATGTACACTGGTTTTGCTTTAATATGAGACATTAAAACATATCGTGGTTAGAATTTTTTTTTAAATAATCTAGTTGGCGTGTCTAGTTTTTGACAACTCTCATAAAAACCAAGCATTAGCGCTGTTGATTGTAAAGAATATTGACAAGAACTTGAGATTTGGTGAGCTTTAGTGGTAACCTGTAAATTTTTAGTATTCGAAAGTCAAAACAATCAAAATGGCACCACCTCGAAGATTAGTAGACAAATGTTCAGCAATTTTAATATTTGGTGAAGCAGGCCGTAACTACCATGAAACTGTGAGAATATTTAATGAACGTTTTCCGAATCGTCCAATTGATCGACATTACTACAGAATATTTGTCACCAAATGTTTTTGAAACTGGTTCTATCGAAAACAAGAATCGAGATGGTAGAAAAAAGACTTCTGAGGAAAAGCAAGTAGATATTTTGTCTCAATTTGTAGTAAATCCATCCAGTTCAACTAGAAATGTTGCTCGCGAATGCGAAGTAAGTCACAGGAGCGTCCTAAACATTTTAAAAAAGCAAAAATTTCATACCTATAGGATGAAAATGGTGCACGAATTGACATAGGATGATCCAGATCGACGACTGCAATATCGTGAAACTATGGATAATAATATTTCACAAGATCCAAATTATTTAAGACATATTTGTTTTTCCGATGAAACTACATTCTATTTAAATGGTCATCGAGGCATTCGAGATGTGGTGTTACAGACGTATTTTAAGAATTTCATGGATGGATCGTCTGGCTAATGTTGAGGTTCTACGTAGAATAGGCAAGGAATGCGAGATTATTAACACCATCAAAGTGCGCAAACTAGAATATCTTGGCCATGTTATGAGGAATGAACAGAGATACGGCTTGTTACAACTCATTCTTTAGGGCAAGATATTTGGAAAGAGAGGACCAGAGAGAAGAAGAATATCTTGACTTCAAAACCTGAGAAAGTGGTTTAATACATCGACAACCGGACTATTCAGAATAGCAGCAACCAAAGTTAGGATAGCCATGTTGATCGTCAACATCCGGAACGGAAAGGCACCGTAAGAAGAAGATGTACATCGACAAAACGTAAGATATTGGTCTGACGAAAACCCTCGATTGTTTCGAGAGTGACATACTCAATTTCCCACTAAATTAAATGTTTGTGCAGGTATGAGTACAAGAGATGCTTTGTTCGGCTTGAATGTGCTGGATCAGAGATGCATGGACATGAATCAGGATATGTACTTATGTTTTGTAGACTTTGAAAAGGCATTTGATAAAGTTCAACATAAAAAGCTTGTAGATATATTAAAAAGCAAAAATATTGACAGTCGTGATCTGAAAATTATATCTAATTTATATTGGAATCAAACTGCCAAGGTAAGAGTTGACAGCCAGTACACCGAAAATATCAAAATACAGAGAGGAGTCCGCCAGGGTTGCGTGCTGTCATCACTACTTTTCAATGTCTACAGTGAACGATATTTCAAGAAGCGCTCTCAGACTCAATAGAAGGTATATCTATCAATGGAGAAGTATTGAATAACTTACGTTTTGCAGACGATACAGTAATAATTACGGATAACAACAATGATTTACAGAACGTAATGCAACGCCTTAATGAACGCTGTCATGAGTACGAACTGAAGATAAATTTAAAGAAAACTAAATGCATGATCATGACTAAATCTGCACATGCAAATATCCAATTGACTATTGAAGATACTGCAATTGAGAGTGTTAATAACTATAAATACTTAGGAACATGGATAACATCAGATATAGACCAAACCAAAGAAATTAAGACACGTATTGAATTAGCACGTACATCATTTATTAAACTTAAAAAGTTTCTTTGTTGTCGGGATATAAGGTTAGAACTACGCCTGAGAATGCTTCGATGTTACGTGTTCTCTACTCTTCTTTATGATCTGGAAGCTTGAACACTAAAACAAGTTCATCTGAATAAGTTGGCCGCCTTTGAATTTTGGTGTTACAGAAGAATCCTACGAATATCATGGATTCAAAGAATGTCAAACATGGAAGTAACTAGAAGGATAGGAAATGAGGCGGAAATAATATTAACTATTAAAAGACGAAAACTTGAGTACTTAGAACATGTGATGAGAGGGCAAAAATACGCATTATTACAACTTATTATGCAGGGCAAAATCCGAGGAAAGCGAAATGTGGGAAGACGAAGAATATCCTGGCTTAAGAACTTAAGGGAATGGTTTGAATGCAGTAGTGCAGAACTTTTTAGA